CCATGACGCACGTGGCAGCTATCGCGAAAAGGTGACATCCAAGCGTTGTTGGTTTTGGCATTTTCTGGGGGGTGCCGTATTTGTAGAAGTTGGTTGCGTGTGCTTCGATTTTGTGGGGGGTACAGCAGTATTCAATATTTTTAGGTTTGGGACGCAATACTCAGTACCCGGCGCACAGGGGGCCACGTGGCACGAGTAGATACCGTTCATCGTCGTAAGACAGCAGAAGACGGAGAGCAGCACGCTTGATACCGGTGTAAATGGAATTCGTTGCGCTTTTTGCACGAGAGCCAAAGGCGGGGGGGGGGGGAATGAGGGAACACTTCAACGATAGCAGAGAAGGGGAGAGGGACCACCTGCTATCCCCGACGTTTCCCAAGCTCACACCCAGCTGGTGTCTTCTAAACTCGAAGAGCCCAGCCCACCTTCGCGAACCAAAAAAGAAAAACATACCACGAATCTGTACGCGGGCTTATCTTTTTCGGGGCAAGACTCCCCGATCAACCAACATGGGGGGTTGCTGTTGTCTTCACATAAAAAACCGTTCCGATCTATCTCTCTATCCAGTACCTCCCTCTGAACGTACTAGTCTCAACACTTGACGAGGTCGATTCCCGTGGTCTCAAGGGGGGTGAGTTGTCATCGAAGGGGTGGGGGTGGCTTGCTGAGAGCCCGGCGTGTTGGAATGCAACACTTTGCCGCGGTGGAGGTGTCCCTAGACCCCAACTGCGACGGTGCACTACCGTCGTGGCTCCGATTTAATATAAGAGGGTCCAAATCGGTTGTCACGACTTCGACCCTCTATAGCATAATTGAGTACTCTTTTAATCCGGTACAGGAGAGGGCACTGATTAGGAAACATGAACACAAACAGAGAAAGACTACCCATTCGAGATAAGACCACAGTCGAACGATATAAGAGGGTGTCGAGCCGTTGTCACACCACCCTCTTGTAGCGGAGCCACGGCTGTAAAACTCTCTCATCGCAAGGAGAGGACCGCAACCAAGACCCACCGTACGCAACTTGACACGTGTGGAGCGAGCGCTCCACCGGTAGAAGAGACCCTGTCCCCTTCCTACCCCGTCGAAAAACAAAAACACCCCCCATTCTGCACCCTCTGAAAGCACGACGTGGGCATTGGCACGTCCGTCGTGAAGAGGGGTCAGGAGTGTAGCTCTCATCCATTTCTCACCTACCGCACCCTTTAAAACACCTAACTTGACCCCACCCCATCCACTGCCCACAGAGTCAACATGAACAAAAAGGCTCCGGTGTGTGAGGCACACGTCCATCCGTCCATGGGAGAGGGGCAAGCGGCCGTTAAGACCGAAACACAGGAAACGTGCACCCTCGCCAGGGGGGACCGCGTTTGCCAAGACGGTCTCTATCGCGAGCCCCCCCATCTTGGGAACTTGATGCAGATGGTCTAAACCAGGTTTGTTTGGCGCATGCCTTACCCCGACCATAGTGCCAGCAGCGTTCGTGCAGCGGGCGCGATGGGAGATGCACTCGTCCGCAAACAGGTGGATGCTGTTGAACACTCGATCGCACGACATAGACAGCGTTGCATAGGTTCGGGGACGTCATCGAGAAACACGGCCATGCCGTCCCCGAACCTCTACAACGCTGTCCATCTCCGGCAAAAGAGCACACGACAAGATCCGCCTGATTGCGGACGAGTCCGTCTCTCAACGCAAAGGACCGATCCGATCTCGAAGAAGGAGGCTTTCCCGCGTTGCACCAACGCTGCTGGCGCTATTGCCGGGGTAAGGCATGCGCCAAACCTAGTGTAGATCATCTGCATCAAATCTCCCAAGATGGGGGGCACGCGATAGAAACCGTCTTGGCAAATGCGGTCCCATCAGGCCAGGCCGGGGTGCACGTTTCCTCTGTTTCGGTCCATACGAGAGTTATTTGAAACTCGATTCATGGAGCGGGAGGACTTTTTTGGACCATTCGCGCCTCATGCATTTTTTGGTCCAACACTCGCCACATCTAAAACTCAAGAGAAGATCTTCACACGAAAAAAACACAGGACTAACGGCCAGTGCCCATACATGATGGCATAGCTGGCGTTGGGTAGGTGGTCTGCCGTTGTGGTCTGGCCAAATTTATGCTGAAAACAAGGAGCAAGCGAAATGCAGAGTGCCTTTCTTTATGGTAAAATGCACACGCTTTACGTAGTCATCGAAAAGCGGACAACGCTCGTCTTTGCTAAGAGACCCCTCGACTCAAGCTACTATAGCTTACACTCTGTATGTCGACACTCGGACACGCTGATGATAGAAAACCATTGACCCGTCTCCTCTTTTTGTGTCCGAAAAAAGGGAGATGGCGGCAGAGGAAAGAGAAAGCGAGAGAGAGAGAGAGAGAGAGAGAGAGAGACACACACACACACACTGCACTGCATCGACGCAACGACGCAACGAACACACTGATGTGCGTCCTTAGTAGAGGTACGACTGCAGTAAATTAAACAATACACCAAAACACAAACAGCAGCAGTTCCTGCCGTTGTATTCCAGACAGATGTCCACTTGGTTGATATCGTACGTCAAGGTGTATGCGAATCCAGTCTCTAGCTACATGGTGCTGTAGCATTTTAGTGTTGCGGTGTCATCGCCCGTTTGGGACAAAAGAAAAAAACTCGGGACAGCAGAGTAGTCGGAACCGACACAACAGCAGATGTTAAAACGACTATTCGCGTACCGACGCACCACGGCCAACGCAAAGGGTAAAGGGTGGAAGATACGTGGTCGACTAGCGTTGATACTGCTGTTGACTGCTGTACCAAATTTGGAGGTAACGCCAACGGTCCAAACAGGTGCCCGGAGTCCGCCAGAAACTCCCATCCTTTCTGCTGCTGTATTGAGGCATGAGTCGATGTAATTCGACGCCCCCCCTTTACAATCGCGCACTCAAAACACAACAACAGAACCAGCATTGTGAGGAGGATATGCAAGCATTCAGCAGCAGCAGCAGCTTTCCCCCTCATATCTCCAGCTGCTCACCTCGAGATACGTCGTGATGCCCGCGAGGCTCTTGAAATACTCGCTAGCCAGGATGGTCTGGGCCAGGAGGGTGTTGAGATTGAAGGTGCGATCATTCCCGTGGATCGGGAGGACGTTGTTATGCAGCTCCTCCTCCTGCCGCTGCTCCTCCGTCAGCTGGTCGTCCACCTCGGAGAGGAAGCCCGCGGGTGCCGAGGTCGGCACGGGTAAGGTGCCGGAACGCGCGGACCTAAAGGCCTGCCTCTCGAGCGCGCTTCGAGACATGGTGTTTTATATCGTCGTGTCTTGCCTGCCTCTCTCTTTGTCTCTCTCGGCGTTACTTTCTCTCGGCAGAGAGAGTTGCAACGACGCCTTTGTGCCGGATAGGTCCCCAATGCACACACGAACACCGCTGATGTCGACACAAGCACAACAGCGAGCTAGGAGGCTGTGCGCCAGCGCAAAGCACCAACCGGCGTGGCAAGGGGTGACGCTGAATTATGCGAGGTACCATTCAAAGTAGCCTTCCATTCTGGCGAGCCTCTCCTCCCAGGAAAATTGGAAAATTGAGCAAGCACAGCCTACTCAGCAGAACTCTCTATCCACGTCTCTCGTCCCTCAATAATGAGCACTTCGTTCGCCGCGGGTGTACTGGCTTACATGCTAGCCACCTTTAACGGCGGCTACTTGTGGCACCTGGTGTTATTCAACGACATGTACCTGTCTCTCAAGGTTTGGACAAGATTCCCGGAGGACATCGGACTTCAGTTGGGAGCATCAGCGGTGCTTCTTCAGGTGGGAGGGGAAGAGGAGGTAGCCGTTACGTTATACAACAACAGTTTACACACCGGAGAAGTTGCACGGAACATGCATCGTTATATGTGGTGACTGCTGTCCCTGCGCCGGGTGGGTCGTGTGTGCATGTGGTGCCCTTGTTTATTCGGGGCCGAATACTTCTGTACAGCAGTACACATGTCTACATGTGCAGCGTATCTACGTGGACATACTGCTGTACAGCAGCAATAGACTAACCTACATGGACATACAGCTGTACAGCAGTTCATCTACGGCGGCTGCTCCCTGTCATGCCAACGTTACAGCCTACCCCC